GATGAGGCTATCTTATCTGTGTACCCCCCCCCTCCACTGGCCTGGTAATCTCCAGCGGAGGAAGCATAAACATTCCACTTGTGCTTCTCTCCCTGGTGATCTTATCAGGTCCCCCTTGCTTGGCGTAGGAAAAAACAGGTCTCCCTCCAGCTTAAGCCCGTAGTGGTGGGGCAGGCATGCCCCCTTGCAAGTCAGCATTCAACCTTATCAGCATCTCTTGAGGTGGGATGGGGGGGAGGCAGCTCCAGGGTGGAGGAAGGAGCCCGCACCCCCCCCAGCAGCCCCCATCTCCCAAAATGGAAAGGAATTTATTCTGTGCCTTTGGGTGGAAATCTTTCCCTCTTGTGGGCTTGTTTTTCTGCCTCTCTGTAAACATACACAAACACGCCCCACCTACAAACCCATCAACGGAAGAAATGGAAGGTGGACAGATCTAAGAAGCCCCCCCTCTCCCTTTTGAGATTGACAACTAAGACCTGTGGGGTTTTTTTCCCCCCCCTCACAAATATCCAAAGTTGAAGCCTCTCTGGAGCTTGGAAATTATTTTCCAGCTAAATAAATTATGCAAAGCGAGCATTTACAGGTCTTAGTATCTCAGCCAGAAAAGAGTCCGCACTGTCGCCAGGTGGGGCCAGGCAGGGCCAATAAACCAAGATCCGGTCCTTGAGCAAGCAGAAATCTGGAGGGCTGGGCAGTGAGAAGGGTTACTTTCCCAGTCAATGAAGCCCCTCATGGCCGCTCATGGTGCAAAAAAAGGTTTTGCCGTGGCGAGCCCCTAGGCTACAATTTCTCCAATGCACTCTGTTTATGCACAATCCATAATTTGTCGCTTTCGCAAAATGCAGCAGCAACATTGTTCAGGATGTGTGTCTCCACGACATTATTGTCAAAAGACCTCTGCCTCCAATCTATTTGTCCCTGGGCTGAAAAACACCAAAGGCAAACAAAGCAACATATGTGCCTGCATGCACATAAGTATAAGCACGTACATACATACGTGCTGCATGCATACAAGCAGTCCTCAACCTATGACCACAACTGAACCCACAATTTATGTTGCTAAGCAGGGCAGCTGTTCGGTGACTTTGGCTCTATTTTATAGCCTTCCTTGCCACACCTGGTAAGTGAATCATTGTGGTTGTTGAGTTAGTAACACGGTTGTAAAGTGAACCGGGCTTCCCCATTGTCTTTGCTTGTCAGATGGTCGCTAAAGGAGATCGCGTGACCCCGGGAGACACTGCAACCGTCATAAATGAGTCAGTTGCCAAGTGTCTGAATGTTGATCACATGACCATGGGGATGCTGAAATGGTTGCAAGTGTGAAAATGGTCATAAATCACCTTTTCCAGTGCCGTTGTAACTTTGAACGGTCATTAAATGAACTGTTATAAGTCGAGGACTACCTATATAAGCAGCTGCCTCTTCATCAGTGTTTTTAAAAATGAGGGCCATTTTACATCCAAATTCTTCATAGTTTGGTCTTTTCAGCTCCTGCGGTTGTGCTTTCTACCTAATCTCATAAATTAATCTTGGCAGCACTCCTCAAATCAGCAGCTTATCTTGAAAAACGATTTCCTGTTCCTTTATATTCGCATCGCAATCAAAGAAAAGTCCAAGAAGGAAGAAGGAGCAGATAAAATCATGGAGAAAAATTTTCCATCTCTTATCATGAGGGCTAGCAACAGCTTCCAAGGACCAATTTAAAAGACGGTTTCTCAGCAATCCAGCGTCCCAGTTGAAAAAGAAATGCACCCACACCAATGTAGGACATTTATTTTGGAAAAAAAACCCAAGCCCCTCCTGCCATTTTTTGATACTCATAACGCATTTGCATTAGACTCCAAAAAAGCCGCTCTAGACAGGCGTTTTCCCAGCAGTGAAATCTTATCAATTTAAAATGCAAGAAAATCGATTCTTCACCACCGCTTCTCTCGCCCTGTTAATTCTGCACAATCCTCACTCAGCAATTTTTCTATTTCAGCCACAGTCTGTCACTGCCAGTTCTAACTCCAGAGTTACTATCACAACCGGCACTGAAAAGTTAGCTTTACGGAGCCACTCCATGGTAATTAAGTCTTTGCTGTACAAACACGGCTGGCACCAGACACATCACCATTTGGGAGCGATTTCCGAGAGGGAGGGAGGGAGGGAGGGAGGGAGGCAGGACCAGTTTCTGAGACATAGGAGGGGGGGTGTTTGTTGCCAAACGGTCTGCTGTATGTATAGGGCAAACAGACCCCTTCCAGGCTTGTTCTGTGTTCCCCAAGCTGATACATAAGAAAGGGCAAATCATAAGCCACGTTCCGCCTCCAGGAAATGGAGCTCTCCAGAACAAAGATAGCATCTCAACAAGCTGAAAAACCAGTGCTAAACCAAAATTTACCTCCTGGCTAGGATTCCCAGTGGTTACAGCCAGTTTGGCTCTAGGCCAAACCTAATGCCCTCTCCAGAGTCTGGAATATAAGTTGCATACTGGAATTCTTAGGTAGCACAAACAAGAAGAGACACCAGCTTGGCAAAGGCTAGCTGAGATCTGGGCATCAGTAAGAGAGAGAATAGAATAGAATAGAATAGAATAGAATAGAATAGAATAGAATAGAATAGAATAGAATAGAATAGAATAGAATATGGAATGCAATAAGTAGAATAGAATATGGAATGCAGTAAGTAGAATAGAATAGAATAGAATAGAACTTTATTGTCACTTTAAATGTACACTACTCAGCATACATTAAAAGAAAATTTCATTGCTTTCAGCTCTCAAAAAAAAAATACCATTATGTATACACACACACACATGTGACACAAAGAAACATCACCATCTAGTTCGAATGTATACATATGCATGGCGAAACATCCTGCAAATTTACAAGAGGGATGGCATAAGGAACAAAGCTATTGCAGAATCTAGCCGTCCTGCTATAAATACTTCGACACCTCCTCCCAGAGGGGAGTAACAGAAACAGACTGTGAAGAGGATGTGTGGGGTCTCTTACAATGCTCCAAGCTCCTCTAAGCACATAGAAGATAACAACAGGCCATTGACTCCAGAGAAAAATTACAGTAATCTGAACTGAGTCTTCAGTAGTGAAATTGTCCTCCAATTATGAACCTTCAAGACTATAGATGGAAAACTCCCAAGTTCTCATTCGGAAAATAAGTCACACAGACAAATTGCTTTCTACTGCTGGCTAATTTCCTGCAACTCCATTTCTTTTTCCCCTTCATCAGCATTGTAACTTTACTATTTGATGCAAATGCTACATTATGCACCAGGGCATATTTTATGGACTTTCCTATAATGGCTTATGGCCGCACAACCATTGATTTGCTACAGCTCTGCTTCTTTCCTTGACTTACAACCACTGGAAGTTTTTAAGAAGAGACTGGACAGCCATTCGTCCGAAATGGTATAGTGTTTCCTGCCTGAGCAGGGGGTTGGACTAGATGACCTCCAAGGTCCCTTCCAACTTTACTATTATTATTATTAAGCTGAGCCCAAAATTTCTGTTGATAAGCAAGACAGTTGTTTAATGAGTTTTACCCCCCATTTTACAACCTTCTTTGCCACAATTGTTAAGTGAATCTGTGCAGATGTTCAGTCAGTAACATGGTGGTTAAATGAATCTTGCCTTCCCCACTGACTTTGCTTGTCAGAACGTTGCAAAAGGCAATCGCAAGACCCTGGGACGCTGCAACTGCCAGAAATGCAGGTAGTCCTCAACGTACGACTGCAACTGAGCCCCCAAATTTTGTCGCTCAGCAAGACATTTGTTAAGTGAGTTTTGCTCCATATTACGACTGTTCTTGCCACAGTTATTAAGTGAATCACTGCAGTTGAATTTTGATCGCGTGACAAGGATGCTCCAAGAGTTGTTAAGTGTGAAAACCGATCATAAGTCACTTTTTTCAGTGCTGCTGTAACGTGAACAAACGCTAAACAAACGGCTGTGAAGTCGAGGACTCCCTGTATGCCTCTTTTCCTATCCTCCCACGCTGAGCAAGGTGTAAGGTGGGATATGACAGAGAATGAAAAACGGGCTGCTTTGAGCTGGCTGAGGAATTCTGGGAGTTGAAATCCACATGTCTTGCCAAGATTTTAATACCAGATTTTCACCTGCCTCATTAAACCTCCTAAATTCCTCCCAGTGAAAAGGAAATAAGGGGGTCCATTTCACAACAGATTATTAGACGCTGAATCTCTGATCTGAGATTGTTATCCCCCCCTTTCTACGCATCTTCTCCAACCTCAACCAGCATCCTTCATCATTTACAGTCCATCATCTTGAGCCCCCCCCTGCATAAATGCAGAGAGGGGGCTGCTGATCCTAGCCCACCCCCAGGGATGCTACAAACGTACAAACCGCTTTATTCTCCCTGGTGCAAAGAGTCACACCCAGCCGTAGGAGGCAGAACCCACCCGGATGGGCCACACTTGGCAAAGGGTTAAGGCAGGGGTGGGGTGGGGAACCGTGGCTCTTTTATGACTCGTGGACTTCAACTCCCAGAATTCCTGAGCCAGCCACGCTGAGGGGAAAGGGAGAGGTTGCCAAGCTGAGCCAGGCCGGCTCAGGAATTCTGGGAGTTGAAGTCCACAAGTCATAAAACAGCCAAGGTTCCCCACCTCTGGGACAGGGGCTCCAGGCTGCTAACAGTCTTGGGAAGACTTGGAAAAACAGGATTAAAAAGCAAATTTAACATATACAACCGGTCCTCGACTTTCAGCAGTTCACTTAGTGACCGTTCAAAGTTACCACAATGAAAAAAGTGACTGAGGATCGGTTTTTTCACCCTTGCAGCCTGCACCAGAATTGACTTCATTTTAATTCATTCAGTCGTTATTTACTTAATTATTTATTAAATATGTATGCTGCTGCCCATTCCATCACAGCAGGTCGTGTGAATCAGCCCATCCCGGGATGCTTTTTTTTTTTTTTGCACGTTTCCGAATGCTGTCTGGAGTCACTGAGGTAAAAAACCCAGAGAAAAATGACAGGCACCTGGGATGAGTCTTCTGCGAGAGGCTTGTCCTCCAATGCCGGACCTTCGAGGCTACTGAAGGGTCAACCCGTCGTGTGAACCAGCCGATCCCGTGAAACCTTCGCGGACTGGGGTGGTCTTTTTTCAACACCGCTTGTGCTGGCAACAGCCCCCCCCCCTCCCCGCTTTTCGTTAACCCGGCTTGGGCGTGCCAGCCAGGCTCCCCTTCCAGGCTGGCTCCCCCTGGGCAGGACTGGGGTTCGCCGGAGCGGAGGGAGCGGGGGTCGCTCCTCGTGCCCCGCGCCAAGCGCCCGGGCTTACCTGCCTGCGTGCGGGAGCCCCGCCGGTGCGCAGGACCCGCTCGGCCGGAGCGCGCTGCTGCCCACGGGCGCCGGGGCTGGCTCGCTCGGCTTCGCGGCTACAGCCAGCCAAGCCTGGCGCCAGGGCGGGCGCCGAGTGACCCAGCGCTGGCGGCGCTCGCTCCTCCTTGCCTGCTCGCTCGCTCGCTCGCTGCCCCAGCCCAGGCACGTCGGAGCACGCCCCTCGCGAGCGGAGGGCGGGCCCGCCTGGCCTCGCCCGGTCTCGGGGGCTGCGGCGGCCTCTGCTAAAGGGGGGGGGGAGCGAGGAGGAAGCGAGGAGGAGGATGAGAAGGAAGAGGGGCGGGGGGCGAGGATGAGAGGAGGAGGAGGAGGAAGAAGAGGGGTGAGGATGGGGAGAGGAGGAGGAATAGGGGCGGCGGGGGCAAGGATGGAGAGAGCTCCCCCCTCCAGCTGAAAGACTGGGAGAGGCTGGAAAGGGGCTGATTTGGGCTTGGCACGAACCCCAGGCGAGTGGGAGAGCTGTAGGGAGCCTCCAGTGGCAGCACAGTCTACCTTTTCCCAGACGGGGGGGGGGGCTGGGAGGGCAAGAAGTTTGGTCTGTCCAGGTGAGAAGGAGCCCAGGTGATGTGATCAAGAGCTCAGCCCGGACCTCCCCAGGGATGTTATGAATGTGGGGTTAGGTGGTTGTGTAAAGCCGGCCAATGGAGCAGGGCAGAATTTGGGGGATTTAAGCCCTCTTTGCCGCCCCTCCTCCCCTCCCCCCTTCTAATCTCTATATGCATCATGTGGGTAGAATTACAAGATGGCCCGTCCCTTCCTTTTAGGGGGAGTCAGCATTTCATTGGCCTCCCAAATAAAATGCAATCCCCAAAATCAAACATCTTTGTTTTTACTCCCGGGTTAGTTCGAACCGTTCCTTCTTTTCTAAATATTTCATTTCTTTTTTCATACCCAGGAAGTCAAAAAATATAATTTGTTGAAAGCATGCCCCTTCTTGGACTTAAATGCTACCTATTTCCTGAGCTGCTGGGAAATTCAAGGTGAAACGGGTCCTTTTTCCACGGACTCAGCTGGCCTTTTTCCTTCTCCTTTTTAATTACGGCTCCTTTTTCTCTTTGATATTGTACCGTGTGGTTTCTGACTAACCTTAATTATATTGAAGTTGGAGCCTGGAAGAGTTGCAAAGACTGTAACTTCTTTGAGAGGGAGGTAGCCGAGGGCCAGGTCTGGCCTTTTAAGGGCTCTTCGTTCCTGAAATTTGGCAGAAGAATTGTGGACGCTAAACCGGCATTTACGTTAAATTGCATTCATTTGAGAAATGAATAGATTTTGGGTGTCCTTGGTGCCCTCTTTAGCCCAACCCTGAGCTAAAGACTGCACAGCTCAACCCTGAACCATGACAGACGGTCGAGGGAACTAGGTAAGTCTAGCTTAAATGAAGAGAAGGATTAGGGGGGGACATGATAGCTGTCCTCCAGGACAGATAGTCCTCAATTTACAACAATTCATTCAGTGACTCTTCAAAGTTACCACGGCAGTGAAAAATGTGACTGATGGCCATTTTTCACAGTTTTAACCTCTGCAGCCTCCCCCTGGTCACGTGACCCAAATTCAGACGCTTGGCAACTGACTCACACTTACGACGGTTGCAGTGTCTTAAGTTAGTAACCGAGTTACCTATCAACTGCAGTGATCCACTTAACAACTGTGACAAATGTCGTAAGACGGGGCAAAACTCACTTAACAAATTTCTCACTTGACAACAGAAATTTTGGGGGGGGTCAATGGTGGTCATAAGCCGAGGACTACCTGTATTCTAGCCAAGAAGCTGCAGAGATGTGCCTTTAAAGGTATGAGAAGACTAGCTCAAAGTAGAGTTTACTTCATGCCACGTATTAATATATAATAAGTCTTACAGTATGTACACTGCATATTAATATTTATTATTCATGAATACGCAGTATTAAGACATTTAATCATTTTCACCTGTCAAATTGGAAAGAGGGTTTTCTGCCAGTTTATAGGAGTCTTTGGCTAGGGGGGTGAAAAACGTGCTAGGATGATACTTGCTTGGTCAAAGCACCATCTTGTTCGCCTGTCTCCCCACTTCTCGTAGGACAGGAGTTGAAAAAGTCAAGGGAACAGCCACAACCAGGCAACTTTCCTCCACTCCTGCCATGTAGGTACAGGACAGAGAATAGCAGAGTTGGAAGGGACCTTGGAGGTCTTCTAGTCCAACCCCCTGTCAAGGCAGGAGTCCTTATTCCATCCTGGACAAATGGGCCGTGCAATATTTTCTTGAAAACCTCCAGTGAACTGGTGCCCACTGGAGCTTTCTGATGTTTGCTAGGAAGAGCTGGCTCTTTGCCCAGGCTTTTGGCTAGGATGGCTGCAGCCCCTTCCAAGGAGGGGTGGGTGTGCCTGGTGGGGACATCCTTGCTTCTTTAATTGTTTGAAAGGCTGGTGTTTTCTTACGAACCTATGAAAACATTCCCGTGAAGTGTTGGGTATTGCATGAATTGTATTAATTAATTGGCTAAGCAAATGATGCACACGATCGCTTCCATGGCCGTGAACGAAGGCAAATGGCCAATGATTGGTACTCCAATAATTCCCTGTTGGAGTACCAAAAAGCCACTTCATTTTGTGATTCCAGAATCCTTACAGCTGGAGGCGGGACTCTGCATCAAGAAAAATAAATGAATAAAATAAGAATGTCAAGCCAGGTCCGCTGTCAAGCTTGATTCCTGGTGACATTGTGAGGCCATCTATGGGGGAGCCAGGTTCACTTAACATCAGGGTTACTAAGTCATCAGCTGCAGTGAATCGCTTAACAAGAAATGGGAAGCAATGTCGTAAAATGGGGCAAAACTCACTTAGGAAATTCTCCTTAACAGCATAAAGTTTGGGCTGAATTGTGCTCATAAGGTGAGGACTACCTGTAGTTAGCTTCCCTATTGGTTAATTTGGGGCTGGCTCAGTTGCTTTGGTTGCACTCTGAGACTCTTCGCAGAAATGCATCCATTGCAAATATTCCTGTCTGTCCAATATTCCTGTTGCGTGATGAGAACTGACCTCAGATCTGCCATGTGAACATTGCTGATTGGTGAGCACACTCTCCCCCCTCTGCATATGATTTACTGGCCTGCAGAAATATTAACGATTGCTACACATTTAAACAACAATGACAACAGCCCGCCCCAACTAGGACAGGCCCTTGTCTTTCAGGCAATCAATGAAAAAGTGGAGCAGGCAGAATTACCTTGCTGGAATATCAATTTTTAATACTCTTGCATCTCCGAGTTCTTTTCAGTGCACCAGTCCAGCTTGATTTTCCCATGCTCAGTCGCAGGCGTGTTTCATAATTTTCCTGTGGCTTCTGAATGAGAAGAGTTCTCATGCTGGGAAGAGAAAAGAATTTGAACAGAGAATGCTAACAGTTGACGATGTTCAAGTGTTTCGAAAAGCTCCCTCTCAAAACCCCATCATTCCTTCTACCAAGGGAACCTTTATATTTCACCCCCAAATAATTCAAAGCCTGGCGGAAAACCATCTTTTGTTCTTCTTTCTCCATAACTTTTATACCAATGTCTTCCCTTCCCTTCCCTATCCATCCACCCATCCATCTGTCTGTCTAATCTATCTGTCTATCATCTCTGTCTATCCGTCCATCCAAACAGGGAGAATAATTAACCAGTGGAACAGCTTCTGTTCAGAAGTTCTGTGTGCTCCATCACTGGAGGTTTTTGAGAAAAGACTAGACAGCCATGTTTCAAATTGAGAAGGTGATTGGACTAGAAGACCTGCAAGCTCCCTTCCAGCTATTGTTGATTGATTGAAGGCCTTACCCGACTTGACTTCTGAGTCCAGACCAAGTGGATGGATCTCTCTTAAAAGATGGTTCCTTCAAGGAGATCCAGGACCCAGCTGATTCTGACCAACATTAAAACAAACCAGTCCCCAGACAGGACGGCCAAAACCTGAATTTCCTCTTTACAAATCATTGTCTTGACTCCTAGCAGTTAGCGATCAGTTACAGTTCCAAAATCCTTTTCAAACATATAATTAGTGAGCCAGACTTCCCCTTCTAGCCTTGTGTACCTATTTTTCCTAAATGAATATATTTTTCTCCCTGTTCCATTTTCCTATCGTATTTTCAACCCATTACTCCAGCTTTTAAAGATGAGAAAAGAGTATTATTTTTGCCATCTATACTATTAGCTATTTTACCAATTTTGTGTCATCCGCAGATTTAATCAGCATTCTTCCTGCCTCTCAATACAGCACTTGGGTGAAAATGTTGAAAGATAATGAGCCCAGAACGAAAATCTGGGCCTCTCTTCTGGGACCCTTTCTGCAATTTTGTGAACCTATTCCAGTGAACGTTTGCGAACAATTTTTAAGCCAGCTATGCATTCAGCTAGCAGTCACGCCAGCCATCTCCTATTTATCTAGTTTGCTTGTTAGAATAATCATATGCTACTTTGTTAAATAATTTGCTAAATCAAGATTGATTCTGTCCACAGCTCACAGAATTCGTTAAGCACATTGGTTAGCTAATTGATTTGCCTGCTGGTGATTGTAACGTTGGGTCTTTCCTTGCTAGTGACTAAAGTACTAATCAACTATCCTTAACGTGCTGTCCCCAAGGTCTACCCTTATTCTGCCTTGGTTACTTCTGTTTGTTACTAACTGCCAGCTCCTGGTTTAGAATATAGAATAACAAAGTTGGAAGGGATCTTGGAGGTCTTCTAGTCCAACCCCCTGCTCAAGTAGGAGACCCTACATCGTTCTGGACAAACGGCTGTCCAGTCTCTTCTTAAAAATCTCCAGTAATAGAGCACTCACAACTTCTGAAGGCAAGCCGTTCCACTGGTTAATTGTTCTTCCTCTCAGGAACTTTCTCTGATTTAGATCTCTATTTAGCAATGGCAATAGCACTTAGACTTATATACCACTTCATAGTGCTTTATAGCCCTCTCTAAGCGACTTTCAGAGTCAGCCTCTTGCCCTTAACAATCTGCGTCCTCATTTTACCAACCTCGGAAGGATGGAAGGCTAAGCCAAACTTGAGCTGGTCAGGATCGAACTCTTGGCAGTAGACAGTTAGCCTGCAATACTGCATTCTAACCACTGCGCCACCACGGCTCCGGAGCTTCTATCCATTACTTCTTGTTCTGCCCTCAGGTTCTGTGGAGAATAGGTTGATCCCACCTGTACAGATGTTTTCACCAATGTCATTCTCTTGGATTTCTCTGCAAAAGAGGATCTTCTTAGCAGAAAATGGATCCCTTCCTTCCTTTCTATTATTTACATTCCTTTTTGAATAAGTAACAGTACAGCTTTCAGTGGCTGTCTTCCAATTGTGAGAATTGCTCCACTAGGCCTCCTAAATTGACTAAACAATATTTGCCTTCCTATGAATGTATCTTATTTCTCCCATTTACAGTCCACTGTGATGTATAAAGGCTATGAGATAATACCTTTATTAATCCTTAAGGTTCCCCAAGACTCAACTGTTTTGAAAAATAAATGTACGTGCTGCGTACACTGCAGGCAGCAGGCATTTCTCTCCTAAAAAAATCAAGATCATGAATAGAGGTAGTCCTCAATTTACGACCTTGAGTGAGCCCAAAATTTCTGTTTTTCTGATCACTTGATCCTGGGGATGCTGCAATCGTAAGTGTGAAAGACGGTCATAAGTCACTTTTTTCAGTGCCGCTGTTCCTTCAAACAGTCACTAAATGTTGTAAGTTGAGGACTACCTGGACTTTTGACACTGGCATTGCTGTGGAATCGTGGCACAATGTTGCACAGATTAGAAACTAGGAGTCCTCCGTCTTCTCCCAAATGGGAACGGTGAATGAAGAACGGTCCAGCTGGTTTATTGTTGGTTGCTATAGATCAGGGGCCCTTTTATGACTTGTGGTCTTCAACTCCCAGAATTCCTCAGCCAGCATTCTGGGAGTTGAAGTCCACAAGTCATAAAAGGACCAAGTTTGAAGACCCCTGCTATAGATCCATGAAAAAAGGACCTCTAAAGGGAGTGCTGGAATGTGGGAACAAGGCTGATAGACTCTTCCAATACTTCCAGACAAAGACCTGGAGACAAGATGCAGCCTGAATTCAGAGGGATAAATAAAGAGGTACAAGACATGTTAGATTAGGGCTCCCTGCTTGATAATTTGCTGCAGAATTAATTCAAGAATCATATTTCCCAGCTGGGTAGTTGTTTAGTCTTCTTTGCAGTCAAAGGGATGTGAGGCACCTTGAACACAAACCAATTTATTACACAACAGCCAAAGCTGCTATTGATTGTAGCCCAGCACTGATCAGATACTTGAAATTGTCTCCTTAGAGAGAGGTGTAACTCTAGCTACAGTTTCTGAAGGGGAGGGTACTCGACCTTGAGGTCAGAGGGAAAATGAAAGGTGGATGTGGCATTTCCCAGAGAGTGGCCTTCATGAACTATCTGGGTGTGACACAGGCTTCCTGTGTTTGTCTATTTTTCCCCATTTATATTTGGTTCTGCCTGAGTGGTTCCCAGAAAAAGATGAAAAGACTTACCAGTTCCTGCTCCCACACTTGCAATCTAACCAGATACTGCACAGAAGGAAAAGGACATAGAGAGGAAACAGCAAACAGAAAAATAAACCTCAGACATTTGGTTCTCAAAGTTTAAAGGTTCCTGTAACGAACAGAATCAGAACAGAGTTGGAAGGGACCTTGGAGGTCTTCTAGTCCAACCCCTTGTTCAAGCAGGAGACCCTATATCATTTCAGACAAGTGGCTGTCCAGTCTCTTCTTAAAAACCTCCAGTGATGAAGCACATACAGATAAACAGTTTGCCTGCAGACATATAGTTTGTAAGCGCTCCCCCCCCCTTAACGCATTCCCTCTTTGCAGGGAGGTCCAGATCCAAAGAGACTGCCTGTAGTTTCCCTGGAAACCATTTCCAAAAATCTTTCTGCGCTTCTGCATCTTAGTCTGGGGAGGGAGTGAGCTCACTGCAGCCAATTTTGGTCACCATATCACAAAAAAGACGTTGAGAGTTTGGAAAAAACTCAGAGAAGAACAACTAAGAGGATCAAAGGCCTGGAGACTAAAACATACGAAGAACGTCTGCAGGACTTGGGTTTGGCTAGTCTAAAGAAAAGAAGAAATAGGGGAGACATAATAGCAGTATTCCGATATTTGAGGGGCTGCCACAGAGAAGAGGGGGTCAAACTATTCTCCAAAGCACCAGAGGGAAGGACGAGAAACAGTCGTTGGAAACTGATCAAAGAGAGAAGCAACCTGGAATTGAGGAGAAATTTCCTGACAGTGAGAACAATTAACCAGTGGGACAGCTTGCCACCAGAAATCATGGGCGCTCCATCACTGGAGATTTTAAAGAAGAGACTGGATAGTCACTTGTCTGAGATGGTATAGGTTCTCCTGCTTGAGCAGGGGGCTGGACTAGAAGACCTCCAATGTCCCTTCCAGCTCTATTCTGTTCTGTTCTAAAGTCACACTGGTTATATCCACTTTGTCATGGTGGAAACATGAACTCCAGGCTTGCTATAAAATGGTTATCACAGGCCCATTATTGCTTAATTTTTAACCATTGTTTTGGGCTCCTCTCCAAAAGCCATATTAGCTGCCAAGGCAAATAAGCCTGGGTGAGCTGGTAATTGCAAGGCTCCATGTTTTATTCATCGGGCAACTCGTGGAGAGGATCCTTTTAAATGCACACGCCCGTGCGTGCATACACATAAATAAAACCAGGGAGAAAGGAAGAATCTGAGCTTGTCAGAATATCAATCGAGAGAAAGAGACCATCGTGGAATTCCCCCCCCCCCCCAAAAAAAATTCCATCATTGGAAGTGTCCTCCAATAAGAGGTACTTTGGAAAATAGGTTGATCCTCCTCTTCTTTGTGACAGCCTCTTAAATACTGGAATGCTGCTATCATGTCACCCCAGTCCTTCCTTTCTTTAGACTGGCCATTCCCAAATCCTGCAGTTTTTCATTTCATATCAAATCCACCCAACACATTTAGTATAAACTCTTGTTTATTTAAAAAAAAGTTGAACAAATAATTCCTTTGCTGTGAAATCAATGGTACCTATGGGAATCTTCCATATCCCAGAGGTTGATTCAACATCTGTTCACAGCTTCAGAAAGAGCACCAGATCAAATAAGGTTTTGTGTGTTCGGTACCAAACAAACCTAAATTGTATTGCAACCAGGATTCCCAGGTCTCTAACCAAGTGTTTCCCAATCCTGGCATCTTGAAGATACGTGGACTCAGCTGGCTGGGGAATTCTGGGGGTTGAAGTTCACACATCTTCAAGTTGCTACAGTTGAGAAACACTGCTCTAAACAATGCAACCAATACACAGCAAAGCCTGAGTGTTGTCATGTATTTCCTGACTAGCTGTCAGCTCTCCAGATTTCAAGAATGGAGCTTGCAATTGCAAAGGACCTGGAAGTCTTTGGGAAAGGCAGGAAGTATGGGAGAAGCAATGGAACAGGGAAGGGACACAGATCCAAAGCAACCATCTAGGAACAGGGGTCTTCAAACTTGGCCCTTTTATGACTTGTAGACTTCAACTCCCAGAATCCCTCAGCCAGCATGGAAGAAGAAAAGAAGAAGTATCACCTGGAAGGTATCCTGTTAGGGAAAGCTTAATTATTAGTTTAATACTGGAGGCTCTTAAAAACTAACTGGAGAAGCATCAGCTGGGAAAGAAATCGATGTGCCGCTGCCTCTTCCCCCACAAATGGATATTTTAGATCTTTTGGCACAAAGCAGATGGTTGGAAGAATCATAGCGTATCCTTGTCTATCATCCTGGTCAGAGTTGTCTCAGAAGTGCTTTTTTCCCCCCTCAAAAGGTAACAGTTTTTTTTTTAACAAGACGACGTTTCACTTCTCGCCCAAGAAGCTTCACCAATTTGATGACTTCATCATCACACAACTGATGAAGCTTCTTGGATGAGAAGCAAAATGTCTTCTTCTTCCTCAAAAAACCAGTCCATTTGCCTTTTGGAAGAAAAAAAAGCAGCCCTTGGGACATCACGTATCTAGAAATAGAATAGAATGGAATGGAATATAGAATATAGAATATAGAATAGAACAGAGCAGAATAGAAGGAACCTTGTAGGTCGTCTAGTCCAGCCCAAGCAGGAGTCCCTACACTATTTCTGATAGATGGCAGTCCGATCTCTTCTTGAAAACCTCCAGTGATGAAGCACCCACAACATCTGAAGGAAGTCTGTTCCATTGGTTGATAGTTCTCACTGTCAGAAAAGTTCTCATTTCCTGGTTGAATCTCTCCTTGACCAGTTTCCATCCTTTATTCCTTGTCTGGCCTTCAGGTGCTTTGGAAAATAGGTTCACTCTTAACTTTTCTCCTGTAGATAGGCAGGAATTCCATGGGTAGTTCAATGTTATCATAAAAAACATATATTTACACATACAAATATAGAACAGCGGTGGGATTCAGCCGGTTCGCACCACTTCGGCAGAACCAGTAGCTAATGTTTTGTTGCCCAGGCCCAGAATGGACTTCCAGAAGCGGCATCCACACAGAGAACCGGTGGTTCACCTATTTGAATCCCACCACTGATATAGAAGGTAGGCTAATGAGATGGAAAAATCCACCTCTCAGGTTTTCTGGTGTTTCCATTGCCTTCTCTTCAGACCTCAGGAGATATGGAGGGAAGTCAGAAGTTCTTGGGCTGGTTGGTTTGGGGAAGAGGTGACATTCAAAGCGCCTGGATTCAGTGGGACCTTTGGTAACAGAGAAGCTGACTTGTTCTCTCCCCCACTTTGGTTCCCTCCTCAGCCTGCTGTATCAGATGAGCTCATCCCCAGATCTTGGATCCGCAGAGTTGCAGTTGCACACAACTTAAGTCCAAGGAAAGGAGCATTCGCAGAAGCTGTGCGTGGAAGAGAAATTAAGGCTGTAGAGGTGCAGTTAGCATGTTCCCTCCATTCCGGGAGATGATTCTCACTGCTTGGGGTTATGTGAAGCTTATAGTATTTTGCTCTAGTTAGCCTCAGTGGTGTTGGAGGGGCTGAGGCTGAACAGGGAGAAGGCAAATGAGAAATGGGGGTGTGGCTGTCAAGAAGGCTTCTCAGAACTTCTGCACAAATCTTCTTCTGATGAAGACGGCTGATGTCATTTGTCTAGAGTGCTTTGATCATCCTTCAAATCAGGTGAAAAAAAAGACTCTAAGGTGGGAGAAAGAACCATCTCCTCCGAGAGCCACTGGGCTCAGCTCCACAATTTCCTGGCCTTTTGAGATGCAACCTTCGGTATCTCCAGACGTGGAACCAGCTGCTACTGGATTTTCAAGTCTTCATCTTCATCCAGGTCGCTGGTACAATCTCCAGGCTCACCCGGACCAAAGCGTGAGCTACGGATCTTCCCAAAAAGAGGGAGGTTCTGCTGCCGGCGAAGTCTGTCCCAGAGAACAGAGAAGAAGCCTCCTTAGATACTTTAGCATGTATTTGGACAATTACATTTAAGCAGAGGGGAAAGCAAGCATTGGTGCCCCAGAGAGGTACAACGCTTTAAAAATGGCCATCCTGGATCACCCAAAACTTCATCTACAGCAAGGATGGGGGAACGAGGGCCCTTTTATGACTTGTGGACTTCCAGCTCCCAGAATTCCTGAGCCAGCCATACTGGCTCAAGAATTCTGGGAGTTGAAGTCCACAAGTCCTAAAGGGCCCCTGGTCCCCCATCTCTGATATTCTAGGGCAGGGGTAGGCAGCCTGGGCTCTTTTATGACTCGGGGACTTCAACTCCCAGAATTCCTGAGCCAGCATGGCTCAGCTTGGAAACCTCTCCCTTTCCCCTCAGCATGGCTGGCTCAGGAATTCTGGGAGTTGAAGTCCACAAGTCATAAAAGAGCCAAGGTTGCCTATCCCTGTTTTAGGGGAATGTCTTAATCCAAGAACAGACAGTCAAACACAATTTAATTAGATGGTTACTGGTGGAACATAATTTTATCCAGCTTCCCTACCTGTGCAGCCTCCTGGTCTATTGCAATTACAGGTAGTCCTTGACTTATGATCACAATTTAGCCCAAAATTTCTGTTGCTAAGTGAGAGTCATTGAAAGTTGTCTGAATTTTGATCATGTGACTATGGGGCTGTTGCAACGGTCATAAGTGTGAAAAATGTTCATGAGTCCCTTTTTTCCCGTGCCGTTGTAATTTCAAACGGTCCTTAAATGAATGGTTGTAAAGTCAAGAACTACCTGTAGCCACTTTCAGCCACCTGATTCCCTGTAGTGTATAAACCATATAAATAAATACATATATAAATAATCAAAGCTCATAGATTTTTGTTCATTTTTTACTTTAGGTCAGTGTTTGTCAACCTTGGCAACTTGAAGATCTGTGGACGTCAACTCCCAGAATTCCCCAGCCAGCCAAGCTGATTGGGGAATTCTGGGAGTTGACGTCCACGGACCTTCAAGTTGCCAAGGTTGACAAACCTGGCTTTAAATGCTTAAAAAGAAACCAGTCCTTTCCGCCAAAAGATCAAGAGATATAAATAGACCCCTGCCCACTTGATTCCAAAACTACCCTTTTATATTTAAATGTCATCCAATTAAGAGGGTGTAACTTGATGGTAAAGTTGCATCTGGACAATCTCCACCAGCCTCCCCCATATTTTCAGTAGCACAACACATTTTTGATTGAATCCGAACTTTTTCCTGTAGGCGCCTTCAAGGAACGGGATAGTAGGAGGCTTGGTTGATGGAAGGATTTACATCTCCCCGGACGTTCGTTATTTATAAATAAAAGTCTAATGCTTTCCCCCCCCCCCATCGCAGATACTTGCAGCCGTTTAATGTGCCTGCATGTCGCTCAGAGGCAATTTAGTTAGGATGCAACTGAAAAGATGGAGAATAGAAGGATATATGGGTGAGCTTCTGAATTCTCCAGACCTATCAAGCAAGTAGTTAAAATCAAAACAAAACCTGGAAGACCCCCCCCCCCAAAAGTAGGTCAAGCTGCTTAAGCCTTTGCTCTACAAAGTCAGTCCAAAGACAGAAGATTGCAGATGGGATACTGAAGCATTTAAGGCCTACACTCAATATACGAGATCAAGCGGCAATTCCTAGCTTCTCTTTTACAAAAAGGCTTCTTGGGCTGGGGACACAAGCCGAAATAGAGTTATATCAAGAACTGTTCAATGTTCCCACATTCTCAAATGGAGAATCTGGATTTTAAAGCTGCAAGCAGTCTTCCAATCCAGATTCGGAATAGAGCTGGAAGGGATCTTGGAGGTCTTCTAGTCCAACCTCTAGACCCTATACAATTTGAGACAAGTGGCTGTCCAGTCTCTTCTTAAAAATCACCAGTAATGAAGCATCCACAACTTCTGGAGTCAAGCTGTCCCACCGGTTGATTGTCCTCACTGTTAGGAAATTGGCTAGTCTAAAGAAAAGAAGAAATGGGGCAGACATGATAGCAGTATTCTAGGATTTGGGGGGCTGCCACGAAGAAGAGGGGGTCACACTATTCTCCAAAGCACCAGAAGGCAAGACAAGAAACAATGGATGGAAACTAACCAAGGAGAGAAGCAACCTGAAATTAAGGAGAAACTTCCTGACAGTGAGGACAATTAACCAGTGGAACAGCTGGCCTCCTGAAATCGTGGGTGCTCCATCCCTTGAAGGTTTTTAAGAAAAGACTGGACAGTCACTTGTCTGAAATGAAATAGGTCCTCCTGCTTGAGCAGGGGGCTGGACTAGAAGACCTCCAAGATCCCTTCCAGATCTATTCTATTCTAGATTACTTGTATCGGGAAAGTTGTGCCACCTTAAAATTTGCTTTCAGCTGCTGGGCATGTTCTGAAGTCCAGGGTGAGTTTGGAGAAGGCCCACAGCTGCCTGCCCCCCCCTTTTGCTGCTGGGGGGGGTGCTGGGAGGGGCAGGCTGGCCTCTCCAATTGGGCATCCTCAGCACTGTGAGCTCCCTGATCTTCCCAGCATTAAGTTTCACCCCAAGAAAATTTATGTCCGGAGTTTCCAATCCAAAGCCACAAAGCCTGAATGGAACGAGGCCTTGCCTTGCATTCTCTGGGCACGCAGCTACCTGACTTCAGCTGCTTTTTACTGGAAAAAGCATACATTATTTAAGTGGGGAGGGGGAAAGGGATCTCTCCGAGGGGGTGCCGAGGAAAGCGCCATTATTCTCCTTTGATTTAATGGCAGCCTCCCCAATAAAATAAGAAGATAAAAACCATATCCCCCTCTTCTCCTCTTACTCCACCCCCTTCTCTTTGCAAGAAAGGAACGAAAGAGAGAGAGAGAGAGAGGGAGGGAGAGAACCAGCTGCCTCATCTTTCAATGGAGCAGAATCGATCTGTCTGACAGACATTTCAGTATTTTATTGCTAGAGAAGCACACATGCAAATTAAAAAAAAAAACAAAACCTCTTTCTAAAAGGCCATAAAATTAAAGTAACTCTTAAAGGCACTTTGCTCAGAACGGAGCCCTCTCAACCTTCCTCTTCCAGGCCAGGCCTTTTTTCTTTTCCTGGGTTGTGAATCCTTCACACACAACGTTCACCTGCCCCTCCAGTCACAAAAGGAGCTGCACGTTGTGAACTTAAACAAAAGAGCAGTGTGCAGAAGAGATTCTTGCAAGCAAGGTAGATGCGGAAGTGGGGCGGGGATAGTGGTTTAAAAAAAAAAAAGCCACCATGATGCCTGAAAAAAGGTGGCGCTTTGACACCTCCCCCCACTGTCCCAGATGCCATCTTGACTTTTTTAACAGGATAGAGCTGGAAGGGACCTTGGAGGTCTTCTAGTCCAACCCCCTGCTCAAGCAGGAGACCCTGATGGCGTTCCTCAAGATGGCTCGCTGATCCAGCATGATACCTTCTGCCTGACTCCTATTCTCCCCTGGCTAGTGAAAGAAGCCCCCTTCTTCTCCCCCCACAGCTGACCCAGGAGACCCTGGCTGGGTCCCTCATGGCAGCTTCTCGCCAAGATGCCCTCTTTTGCCCAAGCACCGCTCCTCAGAGCAAAACCCCCACCTTCCTCTCCTCTCTAATTATAGCCACAGCCAATTTGCATGTTGTGTTCAGCTAACAAATTACCAGGAGCTTTCTAGGAGGAGGCTTTTCTCTTAATTGCTTTGGAGTTCCTGAGAAGGGAACAAAATTGGAAGCTGAGAACAGAGCGCAATAAATATTTTAAAAGTGGAAGAACAGGAGGAGGAGGAGGAGGAAGAGGAGATGGTCGTGGAGAAACCAGAAGCTGGGAATAGGAATGGAGGCCAGGACACAAGTCCTGTATGTTGTTCTGTAAAGGACCACTGATGACAGACAGCCTTTTTCAGCCTGACTTTTCTCCTGCAAGGGGCAAAAGGAAGTGAAGAGTTTCTAGATTGGATTAAATCAGCGTCTTCTCAACTTCAGCAACTTTAATTTTGGTGGACGTCAAGTCCCAGAATTCAACTTTTCATGCTGGCTGGGGAATTATGGGAATTGAAGTCCATACAGCTTAAAGTTCACGAGGAGGAGAAGCAGTGGACTATGGATAGTCCTTGACTTATGACTGGTCATTTAATGACTGTTTGAAATTACAAGGGTCTCAGAAAAGGTGCTTTATGCACATATATAAATTTTTCCGAGACATACAGGGGGTCCTTGGCTTATATCTGGTCACTCAGCAACCGTCTGAACGTATGACAGACCCCCAAATGCTACTTGCAATCCAGTTTTGAAGTTATGGTGGCCGCACCCTTTCCCAGTCACACGACTGCATTCTGGGTGCCTGGCAAACAGCTCACCTTTACGACGGATTTCAGCATCCTGTAGTCACATGACTGTGACTTTTGATGCTTTTTGCTGGTTTCCAGCTTTTACTTCTAATTTCGGGCGAAAAACACCCATTGTGTAAAACAGATCTGCTTCATGACGGCCTCATTTGCTTAACAACTGCTTTATTGGGCTCAATTAGGGCCATAAGCTGAGGACTGCCTGCATTCCTTCTCATATTCTCCTCCCTTGACAGCAAATAAAGGTCGCTTACTTCTTCCCCCTACCTGGATTGCAGGTGTTCCAGCTGGACTTGGAGACTTTCGTTCTGTTCCGTCTGCTCATCCAGCGATCTTTGCAGTTTGCGGACCTGGTTATGAGCGTCATCCAGCTGCAAGGGGCAGAGACCAGGGTGCTTATTTGACTCATTTCAATAGTTTTACATGGCCGCCCACCTCAAGCCACTCTGGGTGGCTGACAGCAGTCATAAAACCATAAATGAAACAATTGTCAAAACAATTTAAAAAAAATAAAAAGACCCCTGTGTTGTAATCGTCCCCTTGGGGTACCCCATAGCAGGCTCAGATGCCCCCCTTCTAGTGGTGGGATTCAGCCGGTTCGCACCACTTCAGCAGAACCGGCACTTAATTTTTGGTTGCCCAGGCCCAGAATGGATTTCCGGAAGCGGCATCCACACAGATGTTCATATATTTGAATCCCACCACTGACCCCTTCTATAATATCTACCCATACAATCCTAGAAGAAAAGAAAAGAAGAAATAGGGGAGGCATGATAGCAGTGTTCCAGTTTCTGAGGGGCTGCCACAAGGCAGAGGGGGTCAGGTTGTTCACCAGAGCATCAGAGGGCAGGACGAGACACAACGGTTGGAAACTGATCAGAGAGAGAAGCAACCTGGAATTAAGGAGAAAGTTCCTAACAGTGAGGACAATTAACCGGTGGAACAGCTGGCCTCCAGAAATCGTGGGCGCTCCATCACTGGAGGTTTTTAAGAAAAGATTGGACAGTCACTTGTCTGAGATGGTATAGGTTCTCCTGCTCGAGCAGAGGGCTGGACTAGAAGACCTCCAAGATCCCGTCCAGATTCTATTCTATTCTATTCTATTCTATTCTATTCTATTCTATCCTATCCTATCCTATCCTACTCTACTCTACTCTGTAATTCTATTCTATTTTATTCTATTCTATTTCTATTCTCTCTCCAGTGCCCCCCTGGTGGGGACCTCTGCCTCAAATACTGGAACAGTGCTATCATGTCACCCCCAGTTCATCTTTTCATTAAACTAGACCTACCCAATTCCTGCAACCATTCTTGATATATTTTAGCTTCCAGCCCCCTAATCATCTTTGTTGTTCTTCTCTGCACTCTTTCCAGAGCTTGAACCTCTTTTCTCGTGTTACGAGGAACTTTTAGCTAGGAGCATCTATTACGTGCGGTGTGCGTGCTCTCCCATCTCCAGCCGAACCACCTAGAGAATTAGTGCACGACAATCATTAAAAACCCTGGGACGGTCACTCCTTTTGAAATCAATAGGATTTATCAGTCTCTGCTCCATGGATGTCCGGTCTTAATATCAAATGGTGATTCCAGAAGCCATAAAATATGAATAGCGTAATATGGTACTTAGACGTAAGCAAACGACATAAAAAGAAAGAGGGCAAAGCATTTCTACAGGATCAATAGAAACCAATTAAAGTGAGCTCAACCAAGGGCACATCCAGCGTTGGGCACGACAAGGCAATTCCGGGGCCAAAGAGTAGAGTCGTCTAAATAAAAAATGCATTTTCTCCCTCATCATGGCTGATGGTGGACCTTAATAGGTTTTCCTTGGCAATAATGACCAGAGCTTGGTAAAATTAACCTGATGTATTTTTTGCATTATTTCATTGGCTTCTAAATCTGGCTAAAGTCTAGAGCAAACGTTTTGCCTTCCTGATCTATATTAAGGGAAAAACAACAAATAGCAAAAAAACTATTAAGAAGTTAAGAATAAGCCATAACATCTTTTAAGGCCAGTCCTAACTACAGGTAGTTCTTGACTTATGAGCTCAAGATTTCTGTTACTAAGCAAGAAAATTGTTAAATGAATTTTGCCTTGTTTTATTTTCTTTCTTGCCACAGTTGTTAAACTAGCCATGCCCAGTTCCTGTAACCTGTAATATCCAGAACCTGCCCAGCTGATCTTGATCCCTTCAGACCCAACGGGCTAGCTCAGCTTTGCTGGGTCCCTGGCGGAACGAGAAAGGGACGGCAATGGGCTCTCCTACATTTGTGACTTCCCTAAAGTCAACATTGCAGAGGCAGAAGGAGACTCACCTCGTCCTCCGCTTGGGCCAGTTCCTTCTTGAGTTCCTCCACTCGCAGCCGCAACTTCTTCACTTCTCCCTCATGCTGCTCCACTCGCCGGATCGTGTGGCCCAGTTCAGCCATCTTCTCCTGGTGCTGCTTCTTCAGTTTGGCATGGACGTGCTTCAGGTCGGCCAGCTCCTGAAGGAGACAAGAGCAGCTTGAATTGGGGGTGGGTGGGGAAGGATGGTTTTTCTCTCTCTCCCCACAGAAGAAGGCCTGCCTGGAAGTCAACCTAGCGGGAAGCAGAAACATCTCTGCCCTCTTCCGATTGGTCAACCCATACCAACGTTGGGATAAAGAAAGAAGCTTTTAAATTGATGAATTTGATTTAAGTTGAGGACTTGACCTGGATTCTGGGTCTCAAAAGCGAAGGAGGTTTAAGTTATTGGTAGGCAAAGTTGGTTTCAGTTTAAAGTCATCCTTTGGGTTTTTATTTTCATTTGCTGTTTTTTGCTCATCCGATGCCTTTTTAAAAAAAGCACCACCATTTCTCCTATCAATAAGAACAAAGTTTGGATGTATAAGCATGCATGGAAAGATGCAGAGATCATTTTTTCTCCCTCAGCCTGGCTTTCCAAGTGGGCCCATTTGCATCCTTCCCACAGGAACACCAGAAGCCATCCTTTCCTCCCTCCACCATCCAGGCACCACTGATGAAGCTTTTTGGGTGAGAGGCAAAATGTTGTCTTCTTCCTCAAGAAAAAAACAGTCCAGTTACCTTTCAAAAAAGCACTGAGAATCTCCATTTAAACCTTCTCTACACACAAGACTGCCTCTTTTAGAGGGCCATTTTACTGGATTAGGAAGGTGGTGTGTGTGTGTGTGTGTGTGTGTGTGTGTGTGTGTGTGTGTGATAGCATTCACTACACCACAATGAGTCTGAGTTTTGCAAGACACAGTAATTTTAAAACAAAAACCACATTTTTGCCAAGAGTAAGGTTTGACTGTCCCCTGCTGTTGAAAGTTAGAAATGCTTTGTGAATATAACTCACTTGTCTCTTCTAAATGAGGTTTTTCCCCCATTTATATTCTTTCAAAACTTTAAATAAAAAATTAGTATGTTTTAGGAGGAGAAAAATAAAAGACGTGAGCACCCAAAAGTGGAAAAACGTTTGACCCACAACAGAGAAATGGTTGCTGACGGGAATGCTACTTGCAGAGACGGCCAAATTGACTTGTTTGATTAGAGAAAAGACAATTATGTTTATTGCTGAATGGAAACCCATTATAGACTTTTTTTTGCATAAAATGGGAATATATGTACTTACAATTGTGGTCCTCAGAATTAGGGGGGGAAAAGCCGGATCATAGAAACAAATGAGAAAAGCCAAACCTAGTTATGGGTAGGATGGCAAACCACCAGAAATTTGGCTAGACTGGGAAATCAGAAATTGGGAGAAGAAAAGCAGGTAGTCCTTGACTTATGACCACAGTTGAGCCCAAATTTTCTGTTGCTAAGCGAGACATTTGTTAACTGAGTTTTGCCCCATTTGCCATAGGTGTTAAGTGAATTGCTGCAGTTGCAGCTGTAACCTGGTTGTTAAGTGGATCTGGCTTCTCCATTGACTTTGCTTGTCAGAAGGGATCACATGATCCAGGACACAGCAACCATCACAAATATGAACCAATTGCCCGGCGCCTGAACTTTGATCACGTCACCCCGAGGTCGTCACAAAAGTCATAAGTCTGAAAAACGGCCGTAAGTCACTTTTTTCAGTGCTGTTGTAACTTTGAACGGTCACTAAATGATCTGTTGTAAGTCGAGGACTACCTGTACTATCCAGAATCCAAATCAGGCCCAGAAGAGTTGCCTGTAAACCCCCCCCCCCAAGTCATAGTCCCAGAGCAGAGGAGGTTTCCTTCCCCACCAAAACTGGAATCCGAGTTACCTTATTCTTCTCAAACAGCTCCGCTTGGACTGTTTTAAAATCTGTGTCGAGAGCACAAGTGGTTTGCCGCCGTTTCCGAGCCAGGATCTCCTCGAGATCCTCAATCTGGGCCCGCAGCTTCTTATTCTCCCGTTCCAGATTCAGCTTCTCTGTTTCCAGCCGCTCTCGCTTGCCCCACTCGGCTGCGTTCTCAGCCTGCAGACGCTCCATCTTCGGCAAGGGGGGAAAGAAGACAGGTGTGAGCCCGGCCAGCAACTTAGCAGAAGCCAAACATGACTGTGGGGGCTCCTCGTCAGACCCTGGATCACCCGGTGACCAGCCGAGAGAGCTTATTCGGGAGGACAAGCAGACTTTTCCACAAGCCGCCATTTTGACACCCCTGCTCTAAAACGTTAGCAAGCACTCCTGAGCAGCTGTTAAATTTTAATGGGACAAAAGGGGGTTCAGAAGGTGCCCACGAACGATAGAGAATTCCCTCTTTCCTTCAGTCTCACCTCCGATCGTAACTCCACCAGTTTCTTGTCCATACTTGAGCGAGCCCCCAGTTCGTCTTCTAGATCCTCAGAGATACGTCCCAGCTCATCCTGGTGAATCTCCTTCAGAATGTTCAGCTAGCGAGAAAAGAAAGAATGGGACGTTCCATTTGTGCAACATCAGTCTTGGTGGAGCAGATTGGGGCATTAGAAAGTGAGGATATTCAGTTTCGTGTCTGAAGCCCCCACGCCCCCACTAGACTGTGCCCACTGACTTCCAAAATAATAGCAGCACTAAGGAGGAGGAGAAGGAGTGGCAGAGAAGGAGAAGAGAAGGAAAAATAGCCAAGATACATTCAATGGACATGTGTATATCTTTGCCTGTTTTGAGCAAGCAGTGATGAGTAATGTGCAGTTGTGTTGTGTACGTGTTTCCCCGGAAAAGTGGTATTGTGGCTACATTGTGGGGTTTACTGTATCTGCCTGCTCTGAACACCACCAGTATGAAAAATTGTCATTTTGTTGTACTTCATGATAAGGCCCCTGAACCTCTGTAATTTAGATCCCATCTCTGCCTTTATTCATGAAGTTTCAAGACTTCAGTAACTATCCCTGACCCATTAGCGACTGTATGATGAACTATCTGTTGAAATTTGAATCTAAATCCCCAAATATTTCCAAGGGGTAACTTGGGGATTTGGATTCAAATCAGAGAAAGCAAAATAGGGAAAGGTTGAGGTGTAAAGTCTTTGGAGACACAGAAAGTGCATCTGTCTAACATCTCTAAGCTAACATCCATCCAATATGGAGAAAGGTTTAGGCAAGTGTTTCTCAACCGTGGCCACATGAAGATGGGTGAACTTCAACTCCCAAAATTCGCAAGCCAGCAAGCTTACTGGGGGGATTCTGGGAGTTGAAGTCCACACATCTTCAAGTGGCCAAAGTTTAGACCAAAAGTGATTGGGCAACCTCAACTCTGCAGCATGGGCCAATTTAAGAACTTCTGGCATTGTCCAATGGCATTTAGTTCAAAGGATGAAGGGAAGTTCACCTGCTTCAGCACCTCCTGCTTATTCTTGTTCAGCTCCTCATACTTGATCTTCCACTGGCTTAGTTCACCTTCCAGCTTCTCAATGTTCTTGCTGAGGGACAGCTTGTCCCTGAAAGAGGCAAGACAACAGCAAGGCTGAGAAACTGCATTGAAGACATGAAGCTCTCCTGCAGAAGCTCCCCTTCTGTTGCTCCTGTAGTAGATGCAGTCTGGATTCCCAGGAGGGAGGGGCTATTTTCCAAAAGGCAAAGAGGCAGCGTAGCTTGGAAAGTCTGGTAGGTAGGAAGATTGTTAAAAAGGGCTCCTCTCAAACTATTCTTAGAGTATATTTGTAGTTGTTCAAGTATGGATAGTCTTTGACTTACAATCACAGTTGAGCCCAAAGTTTCTGTTGCTAAGGGAGACAATTGCTCAATGAGTTTTGCCCCATTTTACGACCATTCTTGCCACAATTCTTAAGTGAATCACTGCAGTTGTTAAGTTAGTAACACGGTTGTTAAGTGAATCTGGCTTCCCCACCGGAAGGTCACAAAAGGTGATCATAAATATAAACCAGTGGTCAAGCATCTGAATTTTGATCACGTGACCCTGGGGATGCTGTAATGATCATAAGTGTGTAAAACAGTCACATGTCACTTTTTCCAGTGCCATTGTAACTTTGAATGGTCTCTAAATATATGGTTGTAAGTTGAGGACTACTTATATTTAAAGTTCTCCTGCTTGAGTAAGGGGCTGGACTAGAAGACCTCCAAAGTCCCTTCCAGCTCTATTCTATTCTTTTAAGTTATTCAAATAGCTGCTTTAGTCTGGCAAGAGTCTGTCTGTAGGAGAACAACAATAAAGGAAATTACTCAGAAGTAACTCCACATGTCATTCTTGGTTCTTGAGCCTCACATCAATCATACCAGACAAGCAACTCTCTGTGTCACTCTGAGATGTACTCTGGGAGCTATTGAGGAAGGTCCTCCCTTTTCATCTTCCTCCCTGTTAGACCTTCCAAGTTCTGCAGTCTCTTTGGGCTCTGGGAAAGAGCCCCTCCCTCCTGGGAATCCAGACTATATTCCACCCCAACTCCTGAAGGAACCCTGTGATGGAGGAAGAGGAGCTGTCAGAAAACGGCACTCACTCCCTTTCTTTGAGGAGCACTTTCTGAGATTCGTCCAGCCGTAGCTTCAGGGCGGTGATCTTGGTGGCATCCTCCTCAATGGCTGAAACGTCTTCCCAAAGCAGCCGATTCCTCTCCTGACGGGTGAAGGATGAACGGACGCTAACTGAGCTCCGTTGGTCCCAGCATTCACCTTCTTCCTGCTTGTTCTTCAGGAGGTTCTCCATCAGCTCAAACTCCTGTAGGGACTGAGAATCACCAATGGAAAAAATAAAGTCTCTTAAGGAGTTTGGCACCAGCTTGAAGGAATCAACCCTACATTTATTCTTCAACTCAATCGTCTGCAACCCAGCATCCTTTTTCAAACTGTAACTACTTTGAGGACAGTTAATTCATCATTATCTATATTCTGTAAATGCAAACATGCCTGTCTTAGCAATCCATTCACATCAGCCTCTGTCTTTGAGCCCAGCAATTTTCTTTTGATGTACACCAGCTGCTTTGATGGGAGCCAACAATTCTTTTTCACCCAGCAAAATGTTTCATTGCTGGCAAGCTGCCCATCCCAGAGACAATCTCAGCAGAATGTATTTGTTGCATTGTAATAAGCCCTGTTCTTCTTTCAAGTATTCACATTACTTTCTTTTTAGAAAAAGAAAGGAAAAGCAGAGCCAGGAAGACTCAGAGGCAGGATAAATCCATGGCAGGATTCTGATGTTCATAGAAATGTAACATCTCCGAGGATGATGATGATGATGAGAGAGAGAGGGGGGGGGAGGGAGGGAGAGAGAGAGAACAAAAGGGAGAGGAGAGAAAGAGAGAGAGGGAGGGAGGGAGGGAGGGAGAAAGAGGGAGATGGAGGAGTGTCTGCTGCAAAACCATTTCAATTTTGTGAAAATGCAAATTTTTCAGAGCTCCCCAAGACATTTGTACCATCAAAAGAATTTTCTCTTTGGCTGCTTGGTTTAGGAAACCATCCGATTTTATTAATGGTCAATGTAGAGGCAGTCCTTGACTTATGACTGGCTGGGGAATTCTGAGAGTTGATCCACAAGTCTTAAAGTTGTCAAGGACAGACACCCTCCTGCACTAAATGTTGGGGGGGGACTGCTTTTGTGGGGTTGCTCCATGCTGAAATATAAAGGAATCAAATGCATCCTACAGAAACAATGGCTCGATTCATATCCAGCACTACAGTACTGTAAACCATTGCATTTTAGTCATGTTTTGCTGAATAAGCCACGCTTGGCTGGATTTGCATAGAACATTGCATGATAAACCGTGGCTCACAAACAATAATTGCCAAATTGAGGCAATGGCACCAAGCCAAAACCAAACCAGCCACATTCTGGCAGTCAGCAGAAGTAGCCTGCAGTACTGCATTCCACCATGGCGCTAGCCTGAATGCCACCCGTGTGGGTCTGGCTGTTCATGGCTGATATCAGCTGAGGTCAGTGTTGTGGGGGGAGACTGCAGAAGCCATATGTTAACAGAGCCCATGTTGCAAAAGAGATTGGGGCTTTGCCGTCCCATCCCTTACCTTGTTTTTCACCTCCTTCTCGGAGCCCACGTCACGCACCGGCTCCTGTTCCGGGGAGGCCTCGCTCTCCTTCTCAGAGGCAATGCGGTTGTCCAGTTCTTTCTCCTTCTTGTCTTCCCCCTTCAGACGGGCCACTTCCTTGCCCAGTTGCTGGTTCTCGTTGAGGGCCTCCTGCTTCTCTCGTTTCAGGCCGGTCAGTTCCTTGCTCAAGGTCTCCAGCTTCTGGCGCAGCTGGCGCACCTCCTCCCGTGCCTTGTTGCGCTCCGCACGGACCTTGCTCCACTTCTCCCGCCAGTTGGCGGTGCAGTCGGACCACCAGCGCATGGTCTTCTCCATCTGGGCGGCTCGGGCACGGGCTTCTTCGAGCTCTCGCAGGCGCAACTCTTCCCGGCTCTCCCAGTCGCTGTCGTGGCAGGTGGAGTTCAACAGGGGGAGCTGCAGTGGGCCGGGGGAAGGAGTGCCGCTCTTTGGGGTTGGGGACATGGAGTCTGACAAGCTCATCCTTTCAGGCTGTGGGCTCCCGAGGATGCTGAGCAAGCTCCTCTTGGAGAGCTGAGGAGAATCAGCCAGCTGAGAACTGGCACCGTGGCTCATTTTGCAACGGGTGGTGGAAACATCTCCTGTCAACAGGTGAGTGGGGAAGGAGTACACACTGCTATGAGCTGCCCGGTGGTTTTCCCCTCACGTGTCAGAAGCCTCGGAGCCGTCCTTCCAGAATCTCCCTAGATGGGAGCACGAAACCCAGGAAGATGCTAGAAGACAGGAGACGTTGCAACTTCAAGGAAGACGACATTTTCTGGATATCTCTTGTGCTCCAAGCTTCCAGCTGTAATCACAGTTATCATGGCAGCAGGAGAAGGCAGAAGCCTACCTGAAAACAAGAGGAAGAAAACGTGAATTATCCTGCAAGCCACAATATTGGGAATTCTCAGTTGGACTTTCCTGGATGGGCTTTAGAAACTTTTAGAGAGTATTGTTTGAGAACTGCATTGTGCATCCAACATCTGGCAGTCAATGGAAACTGGGGATAAGGAATGTGAAGGGCCTGCAGATATTGCTCAACCTCAACTCTCAGCATCCTTCCCCTTGGCCCAGCTGGCTGAGACTGCTGGGACTTGTGGTCCAGGAATGCCCAAGACAGCTACCAGTTCCTCAACCCAGATGACGACTTGCTTTCTAGGCGTCTGTCTTGCATTCCTTCGGCTTTCCAGAACTCCTAAGGGACTTGAGAAAGACTCCAAAAAATTGAAAGCTGATCAAGTCTTCCTCCTCCTCCTTAAATGAATGCAAACAGCTCGCTCTGTTTTGGCAACACCCCCTGGCAAAGAGCTGGTAGCGGCCGGCAACAGCAGCCATCAAATATGCAGTGACCTCATGCCATTTTTCCACTCAACTTGGACCTATGCCCAGAAACTGTAGGAAGAAGATTCTCAGAAGTGGATTTAAAAAAAAAAAAAAAGAAAGAAAGAAAATCTAAGAAAAGAACAAAACAAAAGAGATAATAATTGCATCCAGCTTCATATAAACAGGAAAAAAAATGCAAGGGGAAAAGGGATTGCAAGCCATGGAGCAGAGACTGAGGGTCCACTGAAAAGGTTAACATTTGAGGTGGCCACACTCTTCTACACCTGCCCACATCTGCAGAAGGCGGACATTCCACACTCCTGGTACCTGCCCCCCAAATAGAAGTTTTTCAATTGGTTGGAAGAGATCCAGCAAAAGCCTCCATCCTCAGAGTGGGAACATTTGGAGGAAAAATGCCTATTCCACATAGGGAGAGCTGGCCTACAATCTTGTTCACAGAACATAGAATCATAACTTGGAGATCTTCTAGTTCAACCCTGTACCCAAGGCAGGAGATCTTACACCGGCTGGTCAAATTGTTGTCCAGTCTATTTTTGAAAACCTCCCGAGTTGGAGCACCCACAACTCTGGGAGGCAAGCTGTTCCATTGATTAATTGCTCTCGTAATCAGGAAATGCCTCCTTATTTCCAGGTTGGAGCCCTTCAAGTACTGGAAGACAATTATCATGTCCCCCTAATCCTTCATAGCCATTGACTGAATTTCTGTGACAGCTACAGTCTGTTTACATAGATTTCTTTAAAACTCCAATTCCTATCAATTCTGGGAACTTTGCAGCATAAAAAAGCTAGAAATTTGTGTCCATAAAAACAATTAACCAGTGGAACAGCTTGCCTTCAGAAGTTGTGGGTGCTCCATCACTGGAGGAGACTGGACAGTCACTTATCTGAGATGGTATAGGGTCTCCTGCTTGAGCAGGGGGCTGGACTAGAAGACCTTCAAGGTCCCTTCCAGCTCTATTCTGATTGAAAGAAGTCGAGATCCCAAAGCCAAACAACTGTCAATGCTTCTTTAGCCTCTGCAGGCATTCAAGAAGGTGGGCCAACTTACCCTTCGCCTGGGACTTGCAACTGAAGGTTACACAAAATCCTAGTTCATCTTTTCACCAGGGTTGCTGCTAACATGTGTGGAGGCTGCCTGCTCAACCTTCCAGAGGGGACTGGCTCCCAGCGGGGGGGGGGGGCGCTGGGTCTCTGCCTGCCCACCCTCCTCTCTTTCTCACGCTCTCGGCTTCGATGGCTCCAGACGCTTGGCTGCTTCAAGGGCCCTTTGCTGCCTGTCGGAACGCCTGTCTTGCGTTTATTTCCACCCACAGAGGCCAAAAGAATAAAAATAAAAAAAAACCTGGAGAGCCTTTTCTAGGCACTTCTCTCCAAATTCTTTGGCTGCCTCCCACTTTGCCTCTCTCTGGAGCCCAAAATCTGACTGCTCGCCATATGGTTAAGACACGAGTTGCTATAGGTAAATGCCTTGTAAATACGAAAATAGTGAAACGAATGGCTAGTATCACGGATCTCCAACGTCCTACTCGGTCACCTCCCCCCCCCCAACATCCCAATTTGGACCTGGGGTGACATTCCTTACTTCCAGCCAGACCTCAACATTGCACAGGGTGGAATGAGTATGTGAACCAACAGTGCTGCAATTAGAATCCTTCAAGTGGGATGAACAAGAATTTATGTCAGCTTGAAAAAAAAACCCTTCTTTTAAAATCCTACAATAAAATGTTGTAGAAATCTGATCTCACATGGAAAATCCATTAGACAAGAATTTGTCCATAGCAGCCGTAAAGGCAAAGAAACAAAGAAAAACCCTCAGTTCAGGATGCTGCACGTTCTGTTCAAACCCAGAACGTAACAACCACATGATTCACTTAACAACGGCTGTAAGTCGCTTAACAACCATGGCAAAGAGGTCATAAAATCGGGTGTGAGTCGCTTAACAACTGCCTTGCTTAGCAATGGGAATTCCACTCCCAATTGTGGTCGTAAGCTGAGGACCTCTTGTATTACGCCGGCTCCAGAATGCATCTTTTCCTTAAGGTGTCATGGAATCGATGCCACTTCCTGGGGGTGGGAACCAGCCGGAAGCCAATCCCCAAAGCTGCTTTTGCAGGGGACACAACCGTATTGTTCTCTGCAGCTCATTAAAGCAGCTGCCTCATTTCTTGGGCTTCAGCAGCTGCTCTCTACAACTGCTGATTCACAGGGAGGCTGTTCTGTCTGTGCTCGTGAAAGAGCCAGGATCGAGGCAGTTGTGCATCCATCAAAGATCCTGCCAGTTGAACCTGACCAACTCCAAAGGCCTTCTCTCCCAAAGAGAAGAAGCAGACTGGGCTGCCCTGTGCCGTGTCTCCTAACCCCCAGAATAGGGAGCCGTAGCCACCTGCTGTTTTTCCCCTTCCAAATATATCTACAGGGCTAGAGACAGTTTTGGAAATCAAGATGATTCATGGTGCTTTGCTTTGCAGCAGGCCAGCTTTTCACAAACTTATTTTTAACTGAGCAGATTCTTCAAAAATAAACTACAGAGGAAAAACAGAGAGTGTGACAGATGCCAAGTAAAGGATGGACCGACTCATGAGGACCCACAGAGAATTTGGTTGCTCTCTTGTGGCCTCCTTAGATGTCTCAAACTTCCTGGATCTGGAGTCTCTGCACTCACTCAAGCCCTGGTTATCTCTCACATTTGGACTGTTGCAGTGCGCTCTGCATGGGGCTGCCCTGGAAGAGTATTCCTAAGCGACAATTGCTGCAGAATACAGCAGCATGGATAGTTTTTGGGGGCCCCAGGTTGGCCCGTGTTACACTGCTATTCTGGAAGCTACTGCCAGTCTGCTTCTGAGATATGTACTAGAGATTTTGTTATTGAACTATTGATTAACCCAATCACCACGTTGCCTTCCAAATACTCAAATGTAAAACTGGAAAACCAATAAAATGTTATATATAAAAAAGGGGCATGCTCCCTCGATGTTTAAGAGAAGAGGCTTTTCTGTGATGGCTCCTGCGCTTTGGAACATCTTACTCCTCCAGGTGAGATCTGCACCCACCCTTCTGACCTTATTGCCTGGTCTCCCAAGGTCTTCCCCACACGCCATTACGGGAGCCCATGCAAACATGTGCTTCTTTCTCCCTTTGGAAATGGTCCCCTTGTGCTGCCTTCCCAACACAAGAACCATGTGAAGCAACCACAATGAGCATTAATTGCTTGCAGACTGTCCTATTCCCAAAGACTTCTGCCCACATGAAAGTGCCCACTGGTAGCAGTCAGAGCTGGGGCTTGCTAGTTTTTCAGACCTTTGGCGAGGCTCTGCTGAAGGACTGAGTCACAACTACCTCCAGCCAAAAGCAATGGAACAATCGTGCTCAGGAGCGTCTACAAGGGATGCCCAAACCCTCAAGATAGCAGCCATGATGGTGCGATCCAAATCCTTCTCCTTTTTAACATCCAGACCACACAGTGTTTTGCAGGGATCAGTGCCCAGGAATTGGTTCTTTGGGATCGAGAGACAATGAACTCTCCTGTGAATAAAGGGACTTTAAACTTTATTATTAGTTAAAAGAAACAGATTGAAAAGAAAAAAAGAAATCCCAAACGTGCTTTTTCAGGAAGCAATTGGACTTTCTTGTTTTTCTTTGAAGACGTTTTGTTTCTCATCCAAGAAGCTTCTTCAGCTCTGACTGGAGGGTGGGGAACGGAAGGATTTATACCCCTTGCAGATGGCTGGTCATTTGCCTTCTTTTAGAGAGTCACTGAGGCCACTTGGAGGCTTATCTGTGTCTTCAGGGTCACCTGAGTGGTGCAAATGGGTGTGGAGCCTCAGGTGATCTCGAGGACACTGCTAAACCACCAAATGGCCTCAATGATTCTCTCAAAGGATGCAAATGACCGGCAGTCTGCAAGGAGTATAAATCCTTCCATTCCCCACCCTCCGGTCAGAGCTGAAGAAGCTTCTTGGATGAGAAGCGAAACGTCTTCAAAGAAAAAACAGGAAAGTCCAGGTGCTTCCTGAAAAAAGCACCTTTGGGATTCCTGCAAAACGGAATCAGAAACTTTACAGTGGAAACCATATTTAGGATATTATGCTGTAAGCTGCTCAAAACGAGATGGGTGGCAAATAAACTTAATAAATAAAATAATAAACAATATTGAAACAGTGGGACTGAGCCTCCCCCCCAGGGGCGTCTCTGAGGCATCTTCCTTCCTTTTTCTGTGTCGAAGAATGAAAAGAGAAAGCAAGCCGTCCACCAAGAGTGGCCGTAGCAATAGAGGGAGTCTGCTTGGCTGGTGCCCAAGAGGTGGTGAGCAGAGCATAATGACTAATTCAGCTGCTCGAACAAAGCACATTTCCAGCCACAAAGGCATTTGTTTTCCAAGCCTCCCCCCCCCTTTTGGGAGAAGCCTGTTTCCTTTCCCCTTTGTCTTGAGATACGAGGAAATAAATGAAATGCAATGGGTGGAACAGAACTGGGCATGACACACTCAAGCTGAAACCTAATACTGGTATCCATTGACTTGAGTCAACTAAGATGCTAAACCCATGGCTAACAAAATCAACCGTAGATTATACTGCAGAATAACAATTCCTGAATCACGTTCTGGTTTAATGCGATGGTCTGTCAAGTGCCGGGAAAATCAGGAGATGCAGGCAGTTCAAATGAGTATAAAGATTTATGATAAGCTTAAGCTCTCTACAAGAATCTGAGCTACTAACGGTCAAGGGAAAAGAGCAGGAGATAAGAAAGACATTCAAGCTGGGCTGGACTTAGATTTCTTGTGCGTGTGCAGGGACTCATGGCTGATGACGCGTTTAATCCTTCCCTCAAGTTCAGCCTGATCATGTCCTACTACACTGTTTAGTCCAGCATCATATGAAGACAACAGTGGGCTCCCCACAACAGGTTGAACCTTCCCAACCCTATGTGAGCCAGGCAGAGTGATGGGTACTCTAAAACTTGGGGGCTGGAATGAATTGCTACCAAATGTTAATTTCCTTGGATGGTGGTTAAGTGAGTTTTGTCTCATTTTACAATCTTTCTTGCCACACATGTTAAATCAATCATTGTGGCTCTTAAGATAGTAACCCGGTTGTTAAGTGAATTTAACTTCCCACTGACTTTGCTTGTCAGAAGGTTTGCAAAACGGGGATCACTTGATTGCTGCTGGGACGCTGCAACCGTTATAAATGCGAGTCAGTTGACAAGCACCCCAATTCTGATCACGTGACCAGGAGGACGCTGCAACGGTTATAAGTGTGGAAAACGGTCATAAGTCACTTTTTTCAGTGCCGTTGTAACTTTGAACGGTCACTAAAAAAATGATTGTAAATCAAGGACTACCTGTGCTTTGTTTTTTTCCAAGGCCAACTAGGTGCAGCCCTGCATAAGGAATTCCCACCTTCTTTAAATGGCCAGCTACTTTTCTGCCAAAAGTTTAAAAAACCGATTTGCTTTTTTAAAATACTTCTACCCCAGCACCAGCTTCTCTTTGTGACAGTGCAGGAGGTTGACTTCAGAGGCCGGTGGAGGCCCTCCGCTTGCATTTCAGTCTTGCTTCTAATAGCCGAGATGGACTTTGGAGCAGACTTTAACCAGACTGTGGCAGCCGGCGGCTGAGAAAGCCTCCCAGAAAACCTTAACAAGAGACTGGTGGAGTGTCCTAATTGGATAAATATACCATGGCAGGGAACTGTGGTCAGGATGCAACTTTCCAGGCAACCTAATTACTGAAATCCACTTTATCTTGGAATATTGCATCCATTTTTGGTCGCCACTTAAAGGGCACTTAAAAGTTGTGGAAGAAAAAGGCCCTCCAAATTTAATTTGTAAACTATAAAGATCTGCCAAGCTTTGATAATTTATCTCCAGAAATGGAAAGTCCAAAACCGTGACCCACAGGTATGCATTTGCAATACCTGAAAACAAGGAGACCATTAATAAAACCCCAAACTTAACAGGGAAGAATTGCAATTTATGCACTTGACAATATTCACGCATAACACTTCTGAAGGATTTCAAATGGGGTCTCTTGAATATCATGGCCCAGTGCCGTTTCTCAAACTTTTCTGTTAATTACACCCATTTTAGAAGCATGGGAATTCATCCTTTTTGGTGACTGAAATCACAATAATGGTTGCATTTGTGACTGCTTTCCCATCTTCTTCATTTTTTTACTGAATAATATTTAGTTTATTGAAAGTTAAAGTTAAAATACAACACACCAAAATATTAAAACAACAAAAAAGAGAAAGACATCAAAAAAGTGTCTTTAAAAAAGATTAACACATATACACAGAACACCCTCCCTAGTTGAATGCTGATTAATATAATACAAAAATGTTAATCTCCCAGCCCTTACAAAACAGGCCAAAAGAATTTTAAACTACTCAACTACTAAATCCAAATGTAAGTATTATTTTAGTGACCCATATCAGTTTCCTGATCAAGAATGCTAATTTAATTTCATTCTAAGCAATGTGTTTGAGGGTGCATAAATCCAACTCTTTGAAATTCGATCTTTAGAAATTTATAGTTATATTTCCTATCTCACACTTTTCTTGGGGATGGCTCATGTGAGAATCACACAGCAACGTACACAGGAACCTACAGTCACCATATTCAAGATCTGTTTGCTGGTATGTTTTTTTAAACATTATAATCCATGTTGAAACTTGCAGCTCTGTCTGCACAAGTCAAGGAACCAATTTCCAGCCAGTGATTCATTTGTACAAGCCTGCTGGCTGTTGAGGCACGGGTGGATGGGGGTGGGTGGATGGGGGGGTGAGAGAGTCAGTGGGGGGAACGGGTGGGGGATTTTCATGGAGAATCAGTATGCCAAGCTACACAAGGAGGATTTAAACATTGCTCTAACAAAAAAGCCACATGATGCTTTAATGCAACATGTAGCTAAAATGCGCATTTCAACCAGAGCAAAATTTCCAGTGGATTCAGAGATACTTTTCTGCTTGTTTTCTACTGCTTAAACCATACATAAAACTTAACAAAAAACCTCTAATTAGCTCACATGCAACTTTTACGTATTATCGATTTGACTATAATTTGCTTGACTGATGTGAGCTGCCCAGAGTTGCTATGAATTGGGAGCAACGTACACATTTAATAAATAATAATGATTGTTTTAGTTTTTATGAGAAATGCATGGAGGTGTCCCATATGAAGTTGGAATCACAGGAAAGAACCACAGATTGTTTTTCTAAATATCTGACTTCTATAGTTCTCCTCTGTCAAAAGCCAAAGTGCCAAGAACTTTGAAAGTTCTCATCACCGCCTCCCTTGGCTGATAGAATGAAATAAAATCCCAAATACACAGCTTGTGGCTGGCCCTTTAAGGCCATTTGACAGCCAAATGTTGAAGATGGCTGAAAAAAAATTAAGATTCTGTTTCCAAATTAAGATTCTGATTCCAAATTATGACACAGAGTCAGAATTATGATTAAGATTCGGATTCCAAATTACGATACAGATTCAGAATTAAAATTAAGATTTGGAATTAAGATTCAAACCCCCAAAAGAAATAAAATCAAATAAACATACTGCACGAATTCAAACGGATCCAGGCAAGAATACACAACGAAAAGCCGGACGTTTGCCAAAGGCACCCCGGAGCCGGCCTGGGTCGAGAGCCCGGGCAGGCCGAGCGGGCTCCGCGGGAGAGCCCAGCGGCTGGCCTCGCTGCAAGAGGAGCCGACCCAGCGCCGCGCTTCCGAGGACGCGCCCCATTCGTCGCCCGTGGATCCCGGGCGGCGCCTCCTGCCCGGCCCGCAGGGGGAGCCCCGCGCGTCCCTGCCCGGCGCCGCCCCCCCCGGAGGAGCCCTTCTTCGGCAGGCGCCCGCCCCGCCGCCCCGCCCCCTCCGGCCGCGGCTCCCCCCCCCGCCTCCCCCGTCCTCGGCAGGCGCCGCCGCGGGCGGGGAAAGTTCAGCCTTCACTTTTCCAGCCCCCCCCCCGCCTCCCGCCCTCGGACCCCCTCCGGCCCCAGCGCCTCCCTCCCCGGGGCGGCCCCTTCCCGCGCCAGCCACGAACCGGGGGGGGGGATCGGCGCCTCTCCCCGGGCTCCCCGTCGCCTCCGCCGGCCGTTCCCACCAGCAAAGCCCCCCCCGCCCCTGACGGCCCCGCCGCCCCCGTCCTCCTCCTCCTCCTCCTCCTGCCGGTGTCCCCCGCGGGCTGACCTGGGACGCGGCGGGTGCGACTACCGAGCCCCGCGTGGGCCGGCCGGGGCGGCGGCGGCGGGCGCGAGCGGAGCGGGCTGGCTGGGAGTCTCCTCCCCCTGGCAGCGGCCGGGAGGGAGGGAGGGTGGGCGGGGGTCGCCGCCTCTCGTCGGGGGCTGGCTGGGCCCGGCCGAGGGGCAGGTAGAGGGGCGGTGGGCGTGAGGAAGGACTTTCGGCCCCTGCTGGCGCCCCTCTGCCGGCCTAGCTAAGCGCCCGAGGCCTCCGGAGGCCGGCCCCATCGTCCGCGGCCGAGCCGGCCTCGCCCGGGGAAAGTTGCCGCGAAGTTTCCCACTGGAGGTTGCGGAGCTTTGAGGTGGCTCGGTTCGCTCAAGGCAACCCGGAGGGCGATTCTGCTTGTTTCTTTAAGATAGCCTAGCCCTAGGCAGAAAATGATCCCTTGGATGGAGGCAGTCCTCGACTTAACGACAGTTCACTTAGCGACCGTTCAAAGTTGGAACAGCACTGAAGAAGTGACTTAGGACCATTTTTCACACTGCAAGAGGACCCGACCCAGCGCCCCGCTTCCCAGGATCCACCCATTCGTCACCCGTGGATCCCAGGCTCCTGCTGTTATATATGTTGACAGCAGCAAAAATCTTTTATGCACAAAAACAGAAAGATACTTTGATTTTCACAACAGATGAAAAAATGGCTGGAAAAACTGATGGAATTAGCAGAGATCACTAAATAAAGTGCTTTAATCAAAGAAAAGAACATCCAACTTTGCTTCTGCTGGAAACCACTTTCAGATTTTGTGCTTGAGACGGAAAAAATTGAAACTTTGGCTTTGGCTTTTGCTATTAGATATGCTTGTTATAGAAATGGCTAGTACATATTAAGTATTTAAAAGTAAAAAGTTGAGATTGTAAAAAGTTGCTATTTTATTCCCTCGTGCTAAAACAAGTCAGTTTTCTTTCTTTCCCCCCTTCACCTACATTTCTTTCTTGTGTCCATTTTCCCACTATTTTAATTTCCTTTTCCATTTTATATCTTGATAAGCTTAATAACACACACACAAGTCATAAAACCAGGTCAGCCATGTGACCAACCAGTTTTGACTTAAGATCACAATTGAGCCCAAAATTTCTGTTGCTAAGCAAGACATTTGATAAATGAGTTTTGCCCCATTTTATGAATTTTCTTGTTAAAGTTGTTAAGTGAATCACTGCAGCTGTTAAATTAGTAACATGGTTAAGTGAATCTGGCATCCCATTGACTTGACTTGTCAGAAGGTCACAAAATGGGATCGTGTGACCCCAGGACACTGCGACCGTCATAAATATGAGTCAGTTGCCAAGCGCCTGAATTTTGATCATGTGACAGGGATGCTACAATAGTCATAAGAGGGGGGAAACAGTCCTAAGTCACTTTTTTCACTGCTGTTGTAACTTTAAACAGTCACTGAATGAACTGTTATTAAGTCCAGGAATTTGTGAGAATATTTTGATGTTGTGGTCTCTGCAATGACTGGCAAAATGTTCTTTTCTTCTACTCATCCAAATAAAATGGCTTAACAAGAAGATATTCATCTCTTAACAGTGATTTGTTGAACACTGCTGGAATATTTTTCTGAATAAAGAAAAACAAAGCTGGTTGGCTAATTCTGCAGGTCGTTGTCCTACCCTGTCTGGAGGGCGCACCTTGGTGGAAAATGTTGAGAGGGGTCTCATTAAAGTTATTAAAATCCTTATGATGGGGATATAAATGTATCACACCTTTTTTGAAAACATTTAACATGTGGGTAGGAAAGTGTTCCAATAATAGAAAAAGGAAGAAATAGTTTCAAATTTGAGTCAATTTCTTTCACTGGGCAAGACATTATGTATCAGAAACTCTTATTATAACATTTTAGCAGAATCGCTAGAAAGCAAAGCAAAACAAACCAGTCCTGGATTTTTTTCTTAAAGAAAAAAGATTGAAAAAAAAATAAATGCAAAATAAAACCAAGGGCTGCTTGGCAAGATTGTGACAGGATGAAGATGCAAACAAAAAACAGAAAAAGAGCTTTGAATTTTAGGTGGAGGAGAGGACCCACCAACCAAAAGGGCAATCTGTTGCAAGAGAGGCAATCCCCATCACCCCTCCCCAAGGCCGGCTAATGGGACCTGTAGTCCAAAATATCTATACTATACAAGTAACCATAATTTTACTTTTATTATTTTTTTGGTATGTATTACATTTTCAGATTTTTTTTGTAAAAACTGAGCATTTTAAGCAGGGGGAACCTGCTCAACAGGAGCAAAAAAAAAAAAAAGCTTTCTGTTGCAAGAAGGGACTATCCCTATCAACATCCCACCCCACCCGGGAGGTGGCTGATGGGACTTGTAATCCAAAGCTTTCCTCAGTAGAAAAAAGCCCAAAGTCACCCTCTGGATCTCTCAGTGCTAAAAAGCACTGCTGCAAAAATGATGGGGATATTTCAAAAACTGGGCCTTTGCAGCGGGGAGGGGGAAGGAAGGAGGCAACCTCCAACCCTATTCCGGCCTCTCATGCACAAGGGGAGACCCGCCGGCTGCCTGACGGATGGGGCCCTTAGGTGGGGCGAAGTCTTGAGGAGAAGGCATTACACACACACACACACACACAAATTCAGACCCAGCGCTGCAGCTGCCTAATCGCCTTCACCTGTGCGACCTACCTGGCCGTGATGAGCCTTCCCGCACGCCGTGGCCGTCTCCATGGCAACCGGCCCGCGAGCCGGGAAAGCAGCCGATCGCTCGCACCTGTGTTTGAACGCGCGCCTTTCCCGCCCAGCGCCCTCGGCCTGCCTCGCGGGCACCTTTCTGCTCGCCCATCTCCCCCGTGATTGGCTGCTCCGAAAACGCGTCCCTCGGATTGGCTGAGCGGTCCGTCCCCTCTCCGAGAGGCGGGGGCATTTAAAAAGTCGGCGGGCTCCTCAGGCTGAGTGCAAAAAAGCCAAGCGAGCGCGCTGCGCAGGCAGCAGACGCCGCTACCGCGTCTCTCGGTCCCCGAAAGGGACGATGCTGCGGGGCGCCGGGGGGGCTAAAATGTCTCTCTCCGGTGCTCCCGCGGCCCAAGCCCTCGAGCTCGAGGCCGGGCAGGGCCTTTTGAGCTTTTGAGGTAATGCTAGCGGAGACTTTTCTACGTTGTAAGATACGGAGGGAAGCGTGAGGGGAGCGCGAGTTCTTTAGCTAATTAATAGCTTATTCTCGGGGAGTCAGGATAGCACCTGTGGTAATTTTAAGCGCGGCGTGTATTCTTAGGAGTAAAACGCCAGGGGTGGCTGAGCTAATATCGCAAGGGTGCTTTATTCAAAGGACGCCAATACCACAGGTTACTAAAGATATTTATTCTCAGTCTTTCCCCTCGGGGAATAATGCAAACCGCGGTGTCTTGAAGTAATTCTAGCCAGAGCGCAAGTTCTTAAAATTTGGGTGGGACCTGAGGTAATCTCAGCCATGTCCTTTTAAAAAGGACCAAACCACCACAGGTGAATAAGAGTTAAAATTAGCTTTGTTCTTGCAGTAAGCTGAGGCAATTTTAGCCAGGTGTAGTTAAAAGGGCTAAACTACCACAGGTGAACAAGCAGTAAAATTAGCTTAAAGGCAAAATGGCTTCAGTCCCTGGAGTTGCCCTTTCTTGAATTAGCTCTTGGGACTTGAAGAAATTGTAGTCAAGGCTCAAATCCTTAACAGAAGCAAAACATGTAGAGGACTAGTGGCTTCAAGTAACTAAAGGCAAAAGTTAACTAAAATTACTTCAGGTCCTGGAGCTGACCTTACTTTCTTGAAATAAAGTCAGCTCTTGAAGTAATCTTGATGTAATTTTAGCCAAGGTGCACATTTTAAAATATTGGTGGAATCTAATGTAATCTCAGCCATGTTCTTTTAGAAGGACCAAACTGCCATAGACAAGTCAGAATTAAAAATAGTTTTAAAGGTAAAGATAATATTACTCAGGAGTTGACCTTGCTCTCAGGAATAAACTGATTTCTTGGGACCTGAGGTAACTTTAGTTGGCTCAAATCCTTAAAAGAAGCAAAATATGTTGAGGACTAGCTACTTCAAGTAACTAAACTAAAAAGTTAATTAAAATTACTTCAGGTCAGGGAATTTGACTTATTTTCTTGAAATAAAATCAATTCTTGAGGACCAATGTAATTTTAGCCAAGACTCAAGTTCTTAGAGCAGGAGTCTTCAAACTTGGCCTTTTTATGACTTGTGAACTTCAATTTCCAGAATTCCTCAGCCAGTGTGCCTGGCTGAGGAATTTTGGGAGTTGAAGTCCACAAGTTATAAAATGGCCAAGTTTGAAGACCCCTGTCTTAGAATAAAATATTGATGGAACCTGAGATAATCTCAGCCATGTCCTTTTAAAAGGACCACAAATCACCACAGGGAATAAAAATTAAAATTAACTTGGGGTAAAGTCTGAGGTAATCTTAACCATGTCCTTGCAGGCTAAAAAGTACTTCAAGTAAGTAGAGGTGAAAGTTAACTAAAATTACTTAAGGCCCAGGACCTGGGTTAATTCTCGGGAAATTGCTTCAGTACCTAGAGTTGCCCTTACTTTCTCCCAAGTCAACTCTTGGGACCTGAGGAAATTTTAGTCAAGGCTCAAGTGCCTAAAAGAAGCAAAACATGTAGAAGATGACTAGCTGTGTAGTCTGAGGAATTCTCAAGGGGACAATGTTCCAATTCATTGCATATTGTCTTCTTTCACTCATAGGATAAAACACAAAAATCCCTTTTGATTGATTGCTTTTCTAGTCTCTGAACATAAGCTGGTCATTTGGTGATGTTGATTTTTTTTTTTTAATTTCAAAGGCATGAATCCATATAGACGAAGAAGAAGACATCAACAGTAAGACAGATGGTTTAATTCATTCTCCAGTATATCATGAAAGTGTGGAAGCCTGGCATATACTGTTTGCAACATGTTTATTCCTGCAAAAATTGTTTACAAAGTATCAATGGTAAAAAAAAAAAATTCGGAGTTGTCACAATTTTAGCTATTAGCTGCGGTTCTTAGAATTAGACAGAGTCCTAATCCCACATACC